AAATAAAACAAATAAATAAAGAAAAACCTTTATAAGAACCTCATGACAGGGATAAGCAAATACATTTCAATAATCAGCCTGAATGTGAATGGACTAAATGCACAACTGAAAAGACACAGAATGTCAAACTGGATAAAAATCCATGACCCAATTATTTATGGCATCCAAGAGACTCATCTCACTACATGGGACACACACAGACTCAAAGATAAAGGATGGAAAATGAACTTCCAAGTAATTTCATCACAAAACAAGGCAGGAGTTGCAATCTTAATATCAGAAAAAACAATCTTTCAGCTATCAAAAATTTTAAAACATGTAAGAGGACACTACATAATGATAAAAGGTTCAGTCCATCAACAAGAAATATCCATCCTAAACATATACGCACCCAACACAGGAGCACCAGCATTTATAAAGCAACTATGAAGTAAACTAAAAAAAGATATTGACTCTAACACCATTATAGCAGGGGACTTGAATACCCCATAAACAGTCCTAGATAGCTCAAAGAGGCAAAAAAGTCAACAAGGTGATCCAGAACTTAATCATGACACTCTATCAATTGGATTTAATCAATACCTACAGATTATCCTCCCAACAATCACAGAATATACTTTCTACTCATTACTACATAAAACACATTCCAAGATCGATCACATTCGTGGTGATCAATCAAGCATAAACAAATTCCATAAGGCTGAAATATTGCCATGCACATTCTCAGACCACAATGGAATTAAAATAAATATCAACACCAAAAAAATTTTCCAAAGCCCACAAAGACATGGGTACTTAACAACATTATGCTGAACAACTACTGGGTCATCACTGAAATCAAAGAAGAAATTAAAAGATTCCTGGAAACAAATGAAAATGAAAAAACATCTTACCAAATTTTCTGGAATGCCATGAAAGAAGTTCAAAGAGGGGAATGTATATCTCTATGAGCACACATCAAGAAAATGGAAAGATCACAAGTGGAGAGCCCAACAAATCACCTAAGGGAACTGGAATGAGAAGATCACCAAAACCCCAACTTTAGCAGAAGAATCCAAATCAGAGCCCAAATACAGGACATAGAAGACAAAAGTATAATCAAAAACATCAACAAAGAAATCTGGTTTTTTGAAAGAATTAACAAGATTGATGGACCCCTAGCCAGAATGACCAAGAAAAAGTGAGAAAAAGTCCAAGTAAACACAATCAGAAATACAAAAGATCAAATTACAACTGACCCGAAAGGAGCACAATAGATTATCAGAGATTACTGTGTATGGAAACAAACTTAACCTAAAAGAAATGGAGGACTTTTTGATACCACACAACCTCCCCAGGTTGAAACAAGAAGACATTGAGACACTAAATAGACCAATAACAACCCAAGAAATTGACTCTGTCATACAAATACTACCTACAAAAAAATTCCTGGACCAGATTGCTTTCCAATAGAATTCTGCAAAACGTACTAGGAGGAATGATACTTATACTATTGAAAGTATTTCCAGCAATTGAGAAGAATTCTCTCCAAATCGTTTTATGAAGTTAACATCACACTGATACCTAAATGGGTAAAGATCCAACCAAAAAAGAGAACTACAGGCCAATATCCCTTATGAACATAGATACAGAAATCCTCAATAAGATTCTAGCAAATCCAATCCAAAAACACATCTCAAAAATCATCCAACATGACAAAGTAGGCTTCATTCCCAGGATGCAGGGCTGGTTCAACATTCCCAAGACCATAAATATAATTAAATACATCAACAGATGTAAAAACAAGAACCACATGATAATATCATTAGAAGCAGAAAAAGCTTTTGATAAATTCAGCGTCCCTTCTTGATAAAACCCTCAAGCACCCAGGTATAGAAGGAGCATATCTCAAAACAGTAGATGCCATTTATGATAAACTCACAACTAACATATTTCTAAATGAATGCTGATATGATCCTACACCTTGAAAATCCAAGAGAATCTGTCAAAAAATTTCTTGCACTGATAAAGGACTTTGAAAAAGTCTCAGAGTACAAAATAAATGTGCAAAAGACAGTTGCTTTCCTACACACCAATAACAAGCAGACAGAGACCCAAATTAAAAGCAAAATCCCATTCACAACAGCCAAAAAAAGAAGAAGAAATACATAGGCATCTCCCTAACCAGAGTAGTGAAAGTCCGTTACAATGAGAAGAACAAAACACTGCTCAAGGAAATCCAAGAAGACACAAACAAATGGAAATATATTCCATGCTCATAGATAGGAAGAATCTACATTGTTAAAATGTCCATCCTGCCAAAGGCAGTCTACAGATTCAATGCAATACCCATTGAGTTACCAACAACATTCTTCTTGGGCCTGGAAATGACAATACAGAAATTCATATGGAAACTTAAATGACCACGAATAGCAAAAGCAATCCTTAGCAAAAGGAACAAAGTAGGCGGCATCACCCTTCCCGACTTCAAGCTTTACTATAAGGCTACATCAAAACAACCTGGTATTGGTTCAAGAACAGGCACATAGACCAATGGAGCAGGATAGAGATTCTAGAAGCAAAGCCTCAATTTCTCAACCAACTCATCTTTGACATAGCCTCCAACAACAACCACAGGGGAGAGGAGAATGTATTCAATAAATGATGCTGTGGAAACTAACTGATCACATGCAGAAGAATGAAACAGGACCCCTACCTATCACCATACACAAAAATTAACTCTAAATGGATCAAAGACCTAGAGGTAAAACCTAAAAATATCAGAATCTTAGAAAATGCAGGATACAATCTTATGGAAACTTGAACAGGCAACCAGTGCTATTCAGAAACCTTAATGCCCATACCTTAAGAAACAAGGTAGACAAGTGGGACCTCTCAAACTAACATGCTCCTGCAAAGCAAAAGAAACCTTCAAGAGAGCAGGGAGACAGCCCACAGAATGAGAAAAGATATTAGCCAACTGTATATCTGACAAAGACCTAACATCTAACATCTAGGATCTACAAGGAACTCAAATGCGCTGAAAAGGAGAAAAACAAATAACCCCTTTAAAAATTGGGCAAAAAACATGAATAGACACTTCTCAGAAGAAGATATATGGACAACCAACAAACACATTAAAAAGTGCTCAGCCTCACTCATCATCAGAGAAATGCAAATCAAAACCACATTGAGATACCACCTAACCCCAGTAAGAATGGCCATCACTAATAAAACAAACAACAACAGATGCTGATGAGGATGTAGAGAAAAAAGGAATGCTTCTACACTGCTGGTGGGAATGCAAACTAGTGCAACCCCTTTGGAAGACAGTGTGGTGATTCCTGAAAGAACTAGAAATTGACCTTCCATATGATCCAGCAATTCCCCTATTGGGAATATACCCGGAGGAACTCAAATCATTCTACAAAAAAGATACCTGAACACGCATGTTTGTTGCAGTTCTACTCACAATACTAAAAATATGGAACCAATCATATTGCCCATAGAGGCGGACTGGATTTTAAAATGTGGTACATATACATAACAGAATTTTATGCAGCCATAAATAAGGACAAACATATGGACTTTGCAGCAACTTGGATGGACTTAGAGTTGATCATACTCAGCGATATATCTCAGAAACAAAGAACAGATTATCATATGATCTCACTCATAAGCAGACAATGAGCAATTATCATAATACTATAAGAATGGATTTTCCCACTATAAGTGGGAAACTGCTGTGGAAGGTGGGATTGATAGTTGATGGAAACTGCTAGGGGAGGGAGGGCCACACCTCATCAACAATGGTATCTGCATAATCAATGTTTGTATTCCAAACCTTGAATTGTACTCCACATCTTTAAAATAAATATATATATATATACCATAAAAAAAACTTTTGACTAATAAGAGCAGCAGTCCCATCAAAGTTGTCAATGTGGTCTGGTAAATACGTACAATTTTTTTGTAAGGCTTGTATTTAACACTCATATCTGTGTGACTCTTCCTGTTAGTGTGATAATTGAAATCCACTTCATTAATTCACTAACACAATTTCTATTTCTAATAGTAATGTACTAAAATTGTACTTGCTCAATTGTGTCTTCAAAATTGATATTACACCACCATGCTATAATTATGGTATCACAATTTTATTAACACTGCGCCATAAAAATGAGACAAAAATTATCAAAACATTTAAATAAAATGTGGTATGTTGAACATCAAAGACACCACAGAGATAAACTGTGTCCCATACACACTTAAGAAGAACAATTCTGTCCATGACTTCCCAAAATTCATCATTCAGTGATGTCACATTGGCACGTGGATTCTGGCCACAAAGGCAGTCTTTACAACATGGTAATCGGCCAATGCCACAAATCAAGTTTTCATTGAAATTACTTTTTAGAGAGCTCGATTATCAGTAAACCACTGAGCTGTTCCTTGAGACACCTGTGTACTGATTTCCGTGATGACATTTCAAGATAAATGTTAAAGGCAGCATTGGATGAAGAGTGACTAGGCTAGGACATCGTTTAGGGGTAATTTTTTCTGGGCAACAAATGGATTCTTTCCATTTATTCAGTCATTTCAGCCAAGTTTCATGTCATGAGCTGAAGAGATAATCCCCAGCACACATCAGGGAATATGAGTTAGCAATATAGAAGAATGTATTACATGAAAGTGAAGCAAAGCATGAGGTCACAGAGGTGTGAATCCAAACCTGCCATGTGAGATGTAGCCTCATGACATTGTGACGGGAAAAGATGAAATGGAGACATCAGGGGAAGTCAAGGAGGAAAGAACCACAGTTTAGTGGAGGAAGAGTCCTCCACAGACAATCCATTTTCTCCACAGAAGGTTACCTATATCTCATCCATGGTTACTTCCTTCGATATTTTTGGCAGACATTTTCCCAGTTTATCTTCCAGACTTTCTTTTAGAACTTCTTGGAATCACCAGATTTTTCCAAGGCTCTACCACCTTAAGTGGCACATTGTTCTTTTTCTTGTTTATCTCCTGGCTACATCTTTAGGGTGTCTCTGACTGTGACAAGCCTTAAATAACAGAAGCCCCAGGTCCACCAAGATCAAGCCAGTCATACCCATATGGATGAAATTCTCCACTGTGTAGTCTGGGCCTCTGAGGCTGAGGGTGGTGGAAAAAAGGCCACAGAGTTCAGGGCAGATCAAAGTCACCCAGGAACCATGGAAGTCCACCCTGAGCACCCACTTCCATTTGACAGGACCTGACCCTCTGTGTCCAGCTGCAAAGCTGAGAGCATATCCCCAGTCACCAGTCTTGGTGTCTGACTTGAGTGATGGGCTGGTGGTCTCAGCTGCTTCTGTGATCACAAAGGCAAGGATGTGGGTGAGAATCTGTACATACCTGACCTCTGTGCTCTTGCACCGCCACTTCTCATGAGGGAACTCAGATGCAGTGTCTTTTCTTTTTACTTGCTTGTTTCTTTTTCTTCTTTTTTTCAAGTTGTGGGATACAAGTCAGGATTGTATACATACATGGTTTACGCACAGGTAAAGTGTTGAGCCTCCCATTGAACCTCACTTCACATGAATTAGGATCAGGCATTAATATTGACATTATGTACCACACCCTTCCTCCCCTTGTAGTGCAACGATACTGCCAAACACTTTTTTGTAGTATTATGATAGGTATTCAGATTCCACTTATGAGTGAGAACATGTGGTATTCCGTTCTTCGTTTCTGTGATAGATTACTCAGTATGATAGACTCCAGATTCATTCAAACTGGACTGGATTTTTAAAATGTGATACATGTAATGATGGAACATTATGCAGTCGTAAAAAAGGACAGAGCTTGGGACTTTGCAGAGGTACAGTCTTAATGAACACTGCATCTAGTCTACAGGAATTCCTCTGGTTCCTTCACAGGATTCTTCAGCCTTTCTTTGTTCTGTGAATTCAGACGTTAAGTCTGGGAAAAAGTGTAGCTGAGTCCCACAATCTCAGAGTTGGTGAGAATAATGGTTTCCCTACTAGAAATAATTGAGTTCTTGTGTTCTCTCTGTTCAGTTTGGGACACAGAACCACATAAGTAAATTTCCCTGGATATGAGAATGGTCAGGTTTTCACCAGCAGAGGACCCAGGCTCCATGGATGGGGGTTGGTCCTCAGGGTCCCTGAATGTTAGAAGCACAAAGGGGTGAAAGTCTGGGGCTGCCTCCCCTTCACACTACCTCAGACAGTTCACCTAAGGATTCACTGCTCATTTATTTTTCATTACATCATGTTTCATATATTTAGGAACACCTATGATGGAAAACACATGTACACACATATGAACACAACGTATGGAAACATAAACGTATGTTTTAATTGTTGATGTTTCCAGTAGTCTATAAAAACAGTATTTATACTATTTTTGAAGTGTAAATCCAGAAAAGAAGACCAATGGCAAACATGAAAAACACACAAGATGAAAAATATTAAGCACATGGATAAATTTGTGCAGATAGAAATATGTCTAGATAGATATACATGTATAATTACATGGAATGTATATAACCATAACACATACAGATATACATAATTACAGCTATTTTGTTTTTTGTTGGGTTTTTTTTTTTTTTTTTTTTTTTGAGTTGGAGTCTCTCTCTTGCCCAGACTGGAATACAGTGACACGTTCCCGGCCACTGCAGCCTCAACCAGCTGGGCTCCGGCCATCCTTTCACCTCAGGTTTCCAAGTAACTAGAACTACAGGCATGCACTGCCATTCCCAGCTAATTTTTTTTATTTATTGTAGAGACGAGGTCTCACCAAGTTGCCCAGGTGGGTCTCAAACCTGCAGGCTCAGGCAATCCACTCACCTGAGACTTCCAAAGTGCTGGGATTACACCAAGCCTGGTCACAGCTATTTTCTTAATAGGTATATAAATGCCTTTATATTTAGTTACATCACAGAAGGCAAAAATTGTCATACAATTTGGAAATAAGGAAGTAATATTATTTGTGATCAACACAAATTTCATCAGTAAAGGTGAACAAAACGAGAAGGGAGATTATTTGCACTAAGTAAATGTGAAGACAAATCAATATATTCAAATTAATAGCTATGTTATAAATACATTGTTGCTATTATTTTCTTATTGTCACTATTATTATTATTGAATCTGAGTCATAGTTTTACTCTGTTGCCCAAGCTGGAGTGCAGTGGCACCCTCACAGCCATCACAGGCTTGACCTGCTAGGCTCAGGTGATACTTCCACCTCAGCCTCCCAAGCAGATGGAACTGCAGGTGTCCACCACCATGCCTGGATAATTTTTTTTTTATTTATTGTACAGACAAGATCTCACCAAGTTGCCCAGGCTTGTCTCAAAACCTTGGACTCTAGCCATCTTCTTGCATCCACATCCTAAAGTGATTACAGGCATAAAGCACCACACCTGGCCTTTTAGCATTATTCTTAAAAAGTAGTTGGGTGCAGTAATGTACATAGTTCCAGCTACTGTGGAGGCTGAGGTGGGAGGATGCCTTGAACCCAGTATTTTGAGTTCAGTCTGAGCAATATACATTCATTAATAAACCTCAATCTTGTTGATAAAAATAATTGACACTGACCAGGCTCGGTGGCTCAGCCTGTAATCCCATGCTTTGGGAGACTGAGGTGAGTGAATTGCCTGAGCCCGCAGGTTCGAGACCCACCTGGGCAACTCGGCAAGACCTTATCTCTACAATAAATCAAAAAATT